ATTAAAATTCAAGCAAATTCCATCATAAATTGAATAAAAAAATAGGATTAAGAAAATAAAAAATTAAATATTTTTAATCAATATCCTTTAATGTTTGAATTATAACATATTTTGATAAAAATTTACATTAATATTTTTAAACGAACAGACAAGTCCAGATCAATCTAAACTTGTTAGTTGGCCTTGCTCAACTCATGAATCGTCCATTGAGCGGAGCCCGAACGAACTCACGAGCCGACTTCACTCAATTACACTGCTAAAAGAATTCACCATCTTCAACGGGGAGATGTTATGATTATTATAAAATCAACATATATATATATATATATATATAATTTTTATGGCATATAGTATAATAGAAGGTTCGAAAGATATTGAGATGAATGGCTATAAAGAATATATATTTATCTTCATAAAATGATTTTAAACTGCAAAATATAAAATAAAAAACAAATAATTTAATAATATCTTTGTTCAAAGATGTAGACTCAAACAACTCATGAAGCATGATTGATTTACTGCTTCATGCATGAATTCGATAGAGAAAATAGTATTATCAATACCAAGTGAGCAATTTATTAATTTCTCATTTGTTAAAATCATGAAATCTAAAAAAGTTAAAAATTTTAGATTTAAACAAGATCTAATGACAAAAACTCATAAATCCGAAAGAACAACGAAAAAAAGCAAGTTGTATCCTTGAAAACAGAGAAGCATAATACTAAATCAGGTGGATGAGTGACTTTACCCTTAGAGAAAGCATACGAGAAATGAGCATATCCGTGAAAAGTTTGGAGTAGCACCAGTGGAAGATAAGATTAGAGAGAGTCACCTTAGATGGTTTGGTCACATAAAACGGTGGCCCTCCGATGACCCAATTAGGAAAGTAGATGTTGACTTATGTTAAGAAAGGTAGAGGTAGACCTAAAAAGACTTGATTAAAAAATATTAGAAATGATATTTCTTTATTAGATTTAAATGAGAATTTAACTTTTAACTGGACACAATAGAGATAAAAGATTCATGTAGCCGACCCTACGTAGTAGGACAGGCTTGATGTTGTTGTTGTAGTATCCTTGAAAACAGAATAAAATTTGAATACATTTATAATTGACAACTAAAGTTCATTAGTATTCGATAATTCTAAAACACAAGGAATTGAGTGAAATCATATGCAAAGATCTATACATTTTAATGTGAAGTGCACTCATAATGAACATCAAGATCAAGATGATCCTTAAGAAGAAAATAATAAACAAACAAAACAGAAAAAATAGTAGCCAGAAAGACAAAGTTAACATGGCTTCTTAATGTCATAATTAGAGAAGGGGATTAAGTTAATCTAGATCACCAGATTTAACCAGCATAAGAATTCTAGGCCTAAACAGTTATACAATCAGTTAAAAACAATCATATTTATGGAATAATTTTATCAGTTTGATTTTGATGTTCTTCCTATAGCGATAAAGTAGATTGGTCCAGCAAAATAATGGAACACAGGACACCAGTACTTTTGGCTATGTCAATGCAAAATTTAAATGTCTGGTGCAAGTGACTTTCTCCTACCTACCTGACCAACAGCTTACTTGCCAGAATAAAATATTTAAGAGCTAAGGACCAATTTTTCGAGGACAAAAGAAATTTTAATTTAAAAGCAGCTGTAGCTGTCATATATTCCACTATGAATTGAACTGTGGTGATGCAAGAAGTGGACCTTTGAATGTTAGTACGTTTTAAATATATTTTACATTAATAATTTTAAACAAACTGCCTACAAGCTAATGAGTCAAATTTGTAACTCATTAGCTAATCAAGCACAACTTAAGAGTAGGCTTTACTTAGTTACACCCCTAATTGAGATGGAGAAAAGTTGATGGGAGAATTCACAATGTCCAATAAACAGAATGATTAAGACTTCGTTTGGGACGGCTTTTTTATTGTTTCTTAAAGCAACTTTCTAATACAAAAATTTAAAATTTTATATTAAAAATTACTTTAAGCAGCAGAAAAAACCGTCCCAAACAAAATCTAAATTGATTTTGAGCAATAGATTTAACAACACAAGTATCCTAGTTCAAACAATTTGGTTTGCGGATTACTTTTATCAGTTTAATTTGATGCTCCTCCCATAGCAATAAATTAGGCTGGTCCTACAAAATAATGGGACACAGGACGGTAGTACTTTGGCTATAACAATGCAGAACTTTAATATGTCTGGTTCCAGATAGACTTTTCTTACCTGTCAATCAACAGTTATGTTTGCCAAAATTTAATTGCCAGAATCAAAGATTTAAGTGCTGAGGATCAATTTTTCAAGAAGCAGTTATAGCAATCATATATTTCTCATATAAATAGAACGATAAGCATGCGATAATATCATGTGCAAGCTTCTTTGACTTAGGTTTCGTTTGAGACTGCTTTATTATTACTTAAAGCGGTTTTTAGAACAAAAATTAAAATTTTTGTACTTAAAAGCTGTTTTTAGAAACAATAAGAAAATCATCCCAAGCGAACCCTTAGTCATTTTAAATTGATACGTGTCTAATATCCAAAGTGTAATGCTAACACTTCATGTTAAATGTAGTTAAAGTTACGAAACTTGCTAGTAAAAGAAAACAAAAAAGCTTATAGGCAGACGTAAGGTAGAAGAAGCACAACTTAAACACCTAGCAATTATACATTGTACAAGCGGTTTTACATAGCAAGTTCGGTCATGAGAGTTCTACCAATCTTAAAATATCAAATAGCTATAAGTTATAATACAAACCATAAGCAATAATACAGAGCTTCATAGCTGATTAAATACACTTCCTAGAGCACACATGGTGGGCAGAATCATTTGCATTGATCAATACAGAAGCAATCTAGTGACAGAAGAGAGAGAGCATGCCAAGTTAAATGCTTATCTGATCTGAAAATGCTTGTAATTTTGATTTCCAGGGAGGTTTATCGGCACCTTTCCACCTTGATCTGCCTGCATGCAGCGGCTTGAGCCTTCTCCCTGAGACTCAGAAGAGCTCTTTCTGCGCCGCTCATTGTGGCCAGCCAAACGCCTCCGACAACTCCTCTTTGCTTCATCGAATTCTGGCAACTCATGAAATCTATGGGGGGAAAAATTAAGTTGAATCAGAACATAAAGTTAAATTAAAAAGGTTCACTACAAATATTTTTATATTCCATACTTTGTACTCAAATTATCCATTCGGCTGGAATCTCGAAAGATATACAACAAATCATGGCAGAGTAGACATACACACGAAACAGAAAAAATCTTTGAGAAGAAATAGCTTGGGCAACTCAGTATGGGAGAATATACACGCAAAGATCAGAAGAACATAAACATAAAAAAACAACCTTAGGGGCTTGTTTTATAGCATGATTTAACTTAAATCCCATCAATAGTTCATTTGGGGATTTTAAATCCACTTGCTTTGATAAATCCCATTTCAACCCCCCACTATAGGTTAAATCTAGGATTTGCTAAATTCCATCCTTTACAGGAATTAATGAAGTTAAGGATTTCTTCCTCTCGCAAGCCATAAATGCTGAAACAAATAGCTAAATAATGTGTCATAATTTAGCAAGTTTTAGCATTTTTCATGCCAAGAAGTTTTCAAATAGTAATTCTCTCAAAATTTACTAAATCTGAACTAACAGAATGTAGGAAATTCTACTTTTAGCCAAATAACTTAGTGCTAGAAACCGCAGTATGTATAGCTAATTAGAACTTTCAGTTCCACGTAAAAGTGTTTTCCTCTCCATCCCTCGATCAAATGCTCTAAAATAACTATGTCTAAGTTGGACAACCGAATCACTAAGATGTGTTTATGCACATAAAGGCTTATATGCAAGAAGAACAGTGCTAAATCACCCAAATGTTTTGTCCAAATCCAGCTCCAAGTAAAGTGGTGTTGATTGAACTGCTGACTGATTCATGTTAAGTAATAAGAATATGAGGGAGACTCGCCTGCAATCTACTCAAAATCAAGTCTCTCAGATCTTGGATTCGGACAAAAAAAACGGGATGATTAAGCATTTTTCATGCAAGGATTGCAGTAAATCACAAAAAAAATCCAGATTCACAATAAAAAATCATAACGTAAAAACAATAAACAAATTCAGCTCTAGAAACTACAGAATATGTGGTCAATTAAAAATTTCAGCTTGTAAGCAAATTTGCAGTTCAGGAATCCTCCTCTTCAACCGCTCCATCAAATGCAATAAAATCTCTTATCATATTCGATCAATTTTACTATTGCAGCAATCGTTTACAGAATCCCCATCATAACCCATCGAATCTCCGGAAAAGAAGAACAGGAAAAGGTTAAACAGATCAACCTGCTGCATTGCTGGCAGAACCGCTGCCGGAGTCCAGCAACGATGACCGACGCCGCCTTGGCGTGCGCCTCGCAGACCTTATGTCGCCGATGATACCTCTTCGCTTCCGTCAGGTCCGCCGTACACTTCTCCGCCTGGCAGATCGGGTACGCGGCCCCGCCGACACCCCCACCTCCAGATCCTCTCCCCCTTATCATCGGCTGCTGAATCAACGGCGGTTGGACCCTCTCCTCCGCCTCCTCTTCTCCCTCCACGTCTCCGTTCTCCACCATCTCCACAGAGGCGGCGGCCAACGCTTTATCCTTATAGCTCCGCCGCGTCTCCGACGGAGTCCGATCCATGGCTGACGGAAGGGAATAAGGACGAGTGGTCTCTGGTAAAAAAGGCGAGTGGAAGGCGTAGGGGAGAGAGAGAGAGAGAAAGAGAGTGGCGAAGGAGAAGGGTGTGTGGTCCTCAGTCCTCGCCATTTTTACTACCACCGTCAACTTTGTCCGTATATCGAAACGACGGGAAGGTAGAAAAAGGTCCGGTAAATCTGAGGAAGATGAAGCCATTCGGTGCGTTATTTATTTTTACTATTCGGTAAATTTGATGATCCTAAACAAATATATAAAAATTATTTATATAAAATGTTTTATGAGTATTTAAATAACTAATTTTTTATAAATCAAATTAAAAAAAATTAGGACTATTTATATGCTTAATAAATAAAATTATTCTATTTATATATAAATCTATCATTTTATTATATACAAAATTTATCGTAATATTAATGTCGTCACTTCTATTTGAAATCTAGAAAAGATCCTTCGCTATAAGAAAATCGTCCATTAGTGATAGAAGTTCTAGTGGATTTCCGGCTGCAGATTTTTCGGTGGATTTCCGACAGATTACTTTGAAATCCGTCAAAAAACTTTCAAATCCACTAGAAAATGAAGAATTTCTGTTGAAAAATTCGTTCGTAATACGTGATTTTCTTGTAGTGCTTGAAGACGAAGAAGTCAAATGAAAGATGTGATGTGAATCTTGCTAGCGAGGGTGAAAATTGAAAAATTAAGTAGATGTGAGAAAATCATGATGAAAACTTGATAGGAGCATTGGATCTTGCTACGAGGATAGATGAGAGCAAAGCCCTACATGGGGTCCTGGTTGGATACCCATTGAGTACCCATGCTTTGCATGGGCAAGCTTCATCCACTCACGCCCACCCATGGTGAGTTTCGGGATGTCGCACCCACCCATACCCACCCACTTTCATGTTTTTTGAATGAAGTTTGCTACAAACTATTGGCCTTGAGGCTTGTTGCCCTTTACTCTGACTGCAAACTTTTAAGCTACATCTCAGAATTTTATGTGGTCGCGGTGCGGTTCAATTTTGTGAATTGCATAGTGAGGATTGCGTGTAATATATGTCATACGTTAATTAGCAATGTAAATCGATTTATCCCCCGATGTTGAGTATCCACTCATACCCACCCACGAGGCCATGAGCGTATACATTGAGTATGGGTGGGTATGTGGTTGGATGTGATTATGGGTACCCAATACAGGGCTCTGGATGAGAGCCATGATATGTGAAGAATACTACCTTATTGTCAAGGCTGAGATTTTTTTTATTATTTAATTTTCAAGTGTCATGCCAATAAATTAGAAGATTTTGATCTTAACATAAGTAAATAGAATATATATATATATATATATATATTTAATCCAAATAGTTTGAAAAGCTTAATCTTGACTCGATTGTTAAGCTTTATTTTTTAATTTTAAATTAAAATTTTCAAATTTTTATTTATAATATAGAATGAATTTAAAAATTAGAATATATTATATAATACTAATTTAAATTTTTTTTTTTAATATAGTTTAAGTTAATTGAACAACTCAACAAGCTTACAAGCTGGGCCAGGTTGAGCTCAAATTAAGCTCAAGCTCGATAATTTGATTCATAAGCTCAAACCAGCTTGCGAGCCGACTCGGCTCACTTGTACCCTTAAAAATTTCTTGAACTAGAAATTTTTGTACAAGAAAGCTGCTTTAAAAAGCAATAAGAAAACCATCCCAAATGAAGGCTTCATTTGGGACGACTTTCTTATTATGTAAAACTGTTTTTAATATAAAAATCTCTTCAAAGTAGAAAAAAAGTAATAATCTAAAGCTTCCCCTAACGAGGTTTCGTTTAGGACGACTTTCTTATAGCTTAAAACAGCTTTCGAGTACAAAAATTTTAACTTTTGTACTAGAAAACTGTTTTAAGAAACAGTAATAAAGCTGTCCAAACGAAGCCTTAATCTATAAAGAAAATCTTATTCAGACTAGACATCAACAAGTCAAAAAAAAAGCCTGTGAATCATATCATAAAAACCTATGCATCAGTGACAACAAAAAGCTATCAATCATAAATCAGGCAAATTGATATAAATTATTTTGATGTGTTTGGTACGTTATGTTCCTTCCGTTAATTTTTTTTTCTCCCAAATTCCAACAGATTGTTCATCAACCAAAATATCACACAAACATAACATAAACTGCAACTAAATCCATTATATAATTTGCACTCACTGCTCCAAACAAAATGCACAGAAACAGCACACAATCCTAGTTAAAAAATGCAACTTGGAATTAGTTCAGCAAACAATATACAAACACAACAGAAAAACTAATCTTCAAAATTGCAAATCTTTAATCAAATTTCACAACAATGCAAGAGATGTCATCTTTGCTCTTCCTGGCAAGAGCTTCCTCTGTCAAATGTTTTGCAGCAGACTGAGGGTCCTTAATACCTTTGATGGCATCGACGACCTCCTGGTTTGACATCACCTGGATATAATAAACCTCAATTAGCCATTACAGAATATCAAAAATATAACAGCAAAAGCATAATCATGGAGAAAGAGCACCTTCCATAATCCATCACTCGCTAAGATGAGAAAATCTGCTTCATCGTCTATTATCTCCTCATCGACATATGGCTCGGAGCTAAGGTGCACCTTCAAACTACGATCGCCGAATGCTCTTGCGACGGCAAGTTGTCCGTCGACACGGGGAACATCTCCTGAAATATTACCAAGTATACTGGTTCACTGACAATTCTATTTGCAAGACAAGAGTTAGTAATATACCAGGAATCTTTGAAACAAAACCGCCTTTCTTCTCAATTGTTTCGCGCTCTTGAGAAGGTTCATGATCAATAGAGAGTTGTTTGGCCAAGCCATTCTTGCAAAGTACTGCTCGAGAATCGCCTACATTGGCAACCACAAGCTTCAATCCATCTATTAAGATAGCTGTTACAGCAGTAGAGCCTCCTTTTCCCAATTCCTTTGCTTTCTCCAAAATTTTGCTATCAGTAATTTCATATGCTTTCATGATTGCGCTCTTTGTGTCGGTCAGGAAGTCGGGCTGTTCGAATCAAGATAAGTAATGGAAGTTAATATGGTGAAAGGTAACGAAAGATATGGCCAGTTTAGCTGATAGTTTTCTAATTGCTTTTGTCATAGAAGCCTTAAAAATGTAATGTCCATTTGAACCAAGTTTTTTTCATTGTTTCTTGAAAATGGCATTTAAAACTGTATTTGCGAAGACATAATAGAAAGTGTAATTGAGAAAATAATTAAAAAACAAAAAAGGATAATGTTTCGTTTGGGATGACTTTTTTACTGCTTCTTAAAGCAGCTTTTTAGTACAACAAATAAATTAGTCGTCCCAAACGAAGCCTAAATCGACCCAAACAAAGCCTTAAAAAGAACATGAGATGGGAACATAAATTACCTGATGCAGGATATTGTCAAATAAATGTGACCGTAAATAGTCTGGAACATCATGGCCCATATGGCCATCAAAAATAGCAAATAAACCCAACTCAGAGTCACCAGCATGCTTAAACTGAGCTACTACATAATCCTCCATTGGATGACTAGATTGGCCCTTGACCAAGTGGTATCCATGGGTGATTCGCTTTCCTGACATCTTAGTTTTACCTTTTCCAGTTGTATCCGATGTTGAAGAAGACAACCCAGCTTTAACCTGCAAGAAAAATGCCCAATTCTTATGTTTATCATAATAAATATTGATGGATTGAGATTGTCACGATCTAATTAAGTGTTGCAGTTGCAAAAAGGTAGCATTGTAGGCTGATGTAAAAATTTATGGGAAGTCAGAACCATCAAAACTAATGTTGCTTCAAACTCATCATCATTTGTTGTCAAACACAACTCAATATTTAGAAAATCTTATGCTATTCGATCAAGATCAAATCGGTTAGTTGTTCTAAAACATCTTAAGGACAAAATTAGGATAACTAAACCCCTATCTTATTTGGTGAATCGCAAGTATAAGGATCATGGCTTGAGGCTATATAACCATCTTTGGTATCCTAGTAAATTTTTTTGGGGATTTGCCAAAGCTCATTTTATAAGTGTACTTGGCTTTCAAGAAGGGTAGTGAGTACTTTTATTGTATACATAACGATTGTTGTTTCCATTTCCGGTAGATTAAATTCTCTCTCCTCTTCTGTGAATGTAGGCTCAATTGAAGCTAAATCAAATAAATCTTAGGCCCTTTTTTTTTCTTTTTTTTTTATTTACTTATATTGCATCAACTTTTGATTCCAGGGATACTTCCACTTCCAAGTTATTTTTGCACTCTCATTACAACATCATCAGATATAAGCTATGTGAGACCAATTGTTTCAAACCCTTGTGTAGCTTATATTCTTGTTTGAATAACATACTTGAGTTTATTTACAATACTAAAATTGCTCATGGATGAATTAAAACCCTTCACAAAGACTATGAAAGGAGAAAGGTTTATGTCAAAATCTCAGTCGTCCCTTGGCACTTGATCCCACGGTCAGGATGAAAATCCGTAGGAGGCTCACTTGGATTACGCCAATCTCCTTCTATATTTGGGTGGCTAATTTAGAAAGGATTATATTGAGGTAATTATGCATGATTCTGTAGTTATTGTTTCTTTTTTAAGACATTTTGTATATATCGATAAATATGGATAATTTTGTATAATAATAAGAAGCATATTTTCCCCTCTAAAATTCTATGAATTCTAACATGGTATCAGAACCAACGGCCTTCATTGCCATTGTAGAACGAACGTAGATCATCAGAGAAAAAAAAAAGAAATCAAAGCATTGTCGAGGACGGACGTCGAAGCGGTGCGTTGCGGAAGACGCAGAAGCCCTAGCCGACCGGAACAGGCTGTTTGGTATCCCGATCCAAATGTCGTAACTTCAAATCCAACAGGAAGGGAAAGTTGTTGAAGGAGCTTAGTTGAATAGCCACGAAGGAGCCGAAGAAGCGACGCGTGCCTACCGATCTGACAGGAAGGGAAAGTCGTCGAAGGATCTTAGTAGAATAGCCACGAAGGAGCCGAAGAAGCGTCGCATGCCTACACCTCCTGTGAAGCAACGAAGCATTTTCTCCTGTGACCGCTCCATATGGTCAGACGCCTCTAATGCCAGTACCTTCCTCGACTCTGTCAACGCCCTAATCACATCCGTATGCGGTCACAATTCATCGCCGACAGTCAACCGTGTTGACGATCTCCTACAGCAGTCCATGCTCCAGCTCGAAGATGAGTTCCACTCGATGATAGAGCACCCTTTTGACATTCTCCCGCCAGGAACCCTCGCAGACATTCACGAGATAGTGAAGTGAATTGTCGCCGCCGGGATTGGTCGAGAGTGCGCCCACGCATATAGTCTCTCCCGCCGGACAAAGCTTTGCCAAAGGACGGCGGACGAAGCCTTGCCAATGGACGCCGCAGAGCGGAGCTTTACCAAAGACAAAAGCTATCGCAGAAGGTCCCAGCCGAAACTGAAAGACGGAGCTTACAGAAGACCTAGCGGGACCTCCCTAGCCGAAAGCGAAAGACGAAGACGAAGACGAAGCCACGCTCCAGCCTCCATACGTAGGAAGGTTCCACTCGAATGCTTGGATGCTCGGAAGAAGCCAAAGAAGTTCTCCCGAACGCTCGCTCGAACGATTCGATCGGAAGCTCCTTCCGATTTTCCTGCTCCGCTCAGATCCATAGAGACACCCCTCTCGATTATTTGGGACAAGCCGACAACAGCAAGAAGTATTAAATCATATTTAAGACGTGATTAAGACCTGATATCAGTCTTTATTACGGATATAACCAAATTAGCATTTATTGTTGACATAATCAAATCAGCCTTTACTGCTGATATAATCAAATCAACATTTATTGCTATTATAACAGCACAATGTCTGAAGAAAATTTAGCCCAAAGCTTTGTCCCACCACCGGCCTTTATTGTCATTTTTCGATATCTTGAGGGCTACTATTCTACACAGCCTTCATTGCTACCCCACATCTTGCAGGCTTGATTGATATAGCCTTCATCACTATCATTTGCCGTTGTCACAATGTTTGAAGCTAATTCTTCCCAAAGTTTTGACCAAATAGAGGACTCTATGGTACACCATGGGACTTGTTAGCTCTATCTCTTTGCAACTAATTACCAAGCTGGAAATGACAGATCTATATTCTCCATCTTGAGGGGGAGTGCCAAAATCTCAGTTGTCCCTTGGCACTTAATCCCACGGTCAGGATGGGAATCTGTGGGAGGCTCATCTGGATCACGCAAATCTCCTTCTTTATTTAGGTGGTTGATTTAGGAAGGATTATATTGAGGAAATTATGCATGATTATGTAGTTATTATGTCTTTATTAAGTCATCTTGTATAGATCTATAAATAGAGATAATTTTGTATAATAATAAGAAGCATATTTTTCCCTCTCATATTCTATAAATTCTAACAGTTTTAACATTAAGTGATATAGAAAATCGCATTTAGATCAACAACATATAAATCCTAATTATGGATTATTACAATGTGTTGATCGAAATGGGACAAAAGTTAGGCAAAATACAAGTTGGTTAACCTTATTTTCACTCCATAGCTTAAACTTATGAGTGAGAGTCAAATACTTAATATTTCTATACCAATACATGTTTTAAATATTAAATGCAAAGCTAAGCCTAAAATTTCATGTGCATTAAGAATCTCCCCCTCTTGACGCCAAACACCACTCATTTTCAAACAAAAGCATCATCTAGTATTATGAACCAAGAGCACGCTAAACCACATGAATTTGTCATGAAAGCCACTTGTACTTGAACCTTGCCCAACCACAATGGAATGGCCAAGGATGATGGAAGCCACAAATTGCATGAACCACATGCAATTTGCTAAACTATCCACTACGATTTTGCTTATTAGAAAGTGTGGACCAAATGGGGACTGAAGTTGGGAAGGATAAACCACTGGTCAAACCCATGTTGAACCCAAAAGCTTAGGCTCCACTTATTTCTACACCAATACATTTTCAACCCAAAGTCTTATGTACCATAAAATGAGCTGTAAAACACAATGTTAAGAACAACGACATATTATAGACATAGAGTTGCAAGTTCGTATCAAAACAAACCAATAGTTGAGGCAATTTATAACTAAAATTCATACTAGCAGGGCATTTTTTTAAAAAAAGCGTAGGCCTGGAAAAATGGTTAAATTGCCTCAGGTATAATCTGAGAGTGCATGGAACTTTAGCATCAAAACTAATAGAGCACAATCTTCCCTAGAACAAGCTTACTGCATTCACATTTCTAGGATTCATACCACACTGCAAGGCCAGTTAGAAACCTCTGTAGAGCACGACATGAAACACGCTTCACTATCTACCAGTATGCTGCCAGAATTGGTGGCCTAGTAGGCTATTTAAATGTTAGCTATTAAATAATTAGAACCTCAGACAAAAACATAAGCAATGGTACCCTGTCCCTCTACACGGCTTCACCTTAAATATATGCCAATTTTGTTAACATCTAAGACAAGCTGGAGAATAAATAATATACTAAATCAAAGCTTTTGAGAAGTAGGGTAACAAAAAATGACTTGGTTGTCTCTATTGCAACCTAAAGTTCAGGTTTTTTAAGTATGAAAATAGCCTCTCTATGAGGTAAAACCAATAACCTCCTCGAACCTCACATTCATGAGCCTCTTATGCATTGGTTTTCATCATCAATAAATCCTGTCATTTCATATTCTATTAAGGACAAATTATATATGAGTTGTCAAAAATATACTTCGAATGTAAAAGAACAAACTACAGGACAAAGAAACAAAAAAAGTCCTAATCCTTGCATTCAGTGGGAACATAAAAGTTTAGCAAGCAGTACAGAACAATAGAAGACATTAGATGCCTAGATTGCACAAGCTTTTATGTCATATTTTTCTAGCTGACATAATAATAGTTAGGGAAGTTGAGTTAGATACACCATTGGTCAAACCAATTTTCAATCTAAAAGCTTAAGCTTATGAGTGAATCAAACACTTTCTATTTCTAAACTAACAAATTTTTAAACTATTTGATATGAGAATAAACCCATAACCTTGAGTGTCTAAACTATGTCCCCCCTCACATGAGAACTCTCCATATCATTTAGTATCATACACCAATAGCCCCCTCAATATATGATGAAAGCCACTTGCTCTTGAACCTTACTCAAACATAGTGAGAGGGAACAAGCCAAGGGAATAAAAAATTACCAGAACCACTAGATCCTAAGTAAACAGTAGGCTCTGATAGAACTTATTAAGGGACGTGTGAACCATAAAAAAATCAAAGTTAGGTTAGATACCACAATGGTCAAACCTTTTTTTAACCATCTGATGTGATTACCCATGGGTTCACATGCCTTAAAATGACTCAATATTAGGAAAGAGTTTAATACAAAAATATTTCATATTTATGTATGATTGATCAGACATACTAGATTGTTACCATCACAACCTTGATTAACATGAATAATCTTGAGATTCACACACATACCTCAGTTTCTATGCATATAAGTGTTGATTTACGTTTAGATTAGGGCATCTTGAAGTACATAGATCTTAATTTCGGTTTTTCTCTAAATAATACAACAGGAAGATTATAACATTGTCAAGTAACATCAAAGAGAATTCTCGCTAGCTTCATCTTAGCTGTTGAAATTTCAGTAACACGTAATCATCTTGCACTTAAGAGCACTTCTTAAGATTTTCCTTTGCTTGAGTGCGGTTGTATTTGGAATTTAGAAGGGCTAGCAAGTGACACAAGCATAAATTGTGCCTCCTTTCATAATGGATTAAATGATCTCTACTCTCCAGTGACACAAGCATGTTTCCAATTGAATAACATAAATCTTAGTATCTCTTCTTAGTCTATGTGTGCTTAATCTCTTGTTGTCTTTTTTTTTTTTTTTGCTAATCCTAACTAATGCTTCTCCATTGAGTCGTTTGACACTTTAGTTACTCTACTTAAATAATATTGAATTCAAGCAATGAGCATTATAAAAAATTATATAGTATTATATGAAATAAATTAACTATTGAAAAGTTCATCCAAAAATTATAATAATACAAGGTAAATGACTGCATTGTGACTCATCAAATGTGATGCCACAATGACCATAGTGATGCTAACAAAAACACCATAATTGGATAATGTTCATTTCAATAGGTGCACGTTGATCACATTATCAATTCATTTGAAGAGTTATTTTATCTATGTAATAATGCTAGAAGCTGAGGAAATCATCCCTTTAATTACCATGTTTCTTTTATCACTATGATTGGTAGGTTTCTTTATACTCTAAAACTAAAATTAATCTGTAAGTGAAAAAGTTTAGCATTGACCCAATTTTGAAAAAGGAAATGCAATTTTAGATCAAAGGCTTCGATATCCACCATCCATTAAAGATGAGGAATCAAAAGTAAGATCGGGAAGGACCAAAGTAGTGCAAGAGAATCATAAAAGTTTTACACTGTCAAGATTTATAAAAATATATTTTGACATGCAACTATTCTAGATCAGACCTTTATGATTATACTGTAAGATGATTGCAGGCTGTAGTAGTTGAATAAAGAAATTAAGTATAACAACAGTAAAGTGCACTCTTTACCAAAGAAATATTTAGGTTCACCTGATCCAGATAAATCAAACTAAAAATTTTCTTGGACTCATTAATCCACAACATAAGCTAGCAAATACTCACTCCTAAAGAACAATATGTTAAAGTTAATGATTTGATCAACAATTAAATAGTTGAGACTAATGATGAAGATGAATGCTTTGGTCTACAAAATAAACCATCTTGTACATTGAAGGAGATTGACTAACGCACTTTCATCTTGTGCTTACTACTCTTAGTATACTAGACAGAGAAGCCAAACATAAATCCACAAACTAATCGGAAAGTAATATATTTGTATATCTATTCATTATTGACTGGCAAGTTTTTTTTTTTCAAATATCTGTAGTATAAAGGCTTTTTTGGTTGGCCTTTTCACCTATTGGAGTACCTCATTTATGTAAAAATAATGAGCTGCTTTTCAAAAAAATGACTTCCAATATACTTCTTTTAGAAAAAAACTTATACTTCTTCAGAAATCAGTTTTTGAACAACAGATTCTCAACTTTCTTTATGAAAAGAATAAAGGAGTCCAAGTGTTAGTAATTAATCAAAGAATGAAACTTACATAATCAGATGTTTCCAGATAATCCTCTAAAAAAAGACAAAAACTCCTGCTAAGTTTATTTGACAGCTTGGGAATCTCCCATCAGATGACAAAATATGTCAATTGCAAAGTTATGATTTCGTCAATTACTCAATAAAAATTTCATTTTTCAAGTACAAAAGGTTTTTTGCGGACTTCAAGCTAAAGCATTTCATTATTAGAAAATCTAACTGCTGAAACATAAACCATGTTCATTTCGGTACCTTCCCATCAACCAATCTTAAGCTGTTCAGAATCTTCAGTCACAAAAGGCATAAGCTAAAAGATTCCTCCTTGAGAAACCATTAAAAAGCTCCCATACATAACCAGCCAAATCAACCAATCGAATCAAAGGAAGAAAGGTTATTGGTTCATGATTTCATCGCATTCAAGAACAAGAAATAATTCCAACTTCACTAGGATATCAAATCCGTCAGCTAGGTTTTTCCCAACCAAAAAAGACGGTTTTTGTTTGATCTAATCGAGCCAAATCCGCGCAACAAACAAAAGATCTCTCGAATCGAATACTTTTTTTAATAAAAGCACAAAGCATCGTACCTTCATCTTATGCAGGATCTCTTTTCCCATCATTTTCTAACCAGATTGATTTAGCCTCTTCTATCGCACTTTACCGTTCCCAAATCTCTCGCTTTCTCCTCGCACATTTATCACACCAAAAAGATGGCGGTGGCCGCTTTCTCTGATCACGGAGCGCGGGACAATGGACCGGCGACTAACCCGAACCGATTCTTGAGCGGGCCAAGCCTTTTTCCTTATCGGACCGGTCCGGGTCGGGACCATAAAGCTATAGTCCAACCCGATTCAAAGTTGTTCATTTTAACTTTCAAGTTTAATATAAAATCACTTCCATTAAATTTATTTTAAAAAAATTAAGAACTATTCTAATTTTTTATAATTATACATATTAATATAAATTTTTAAATAAAAATATAATATGTGACCCGATCCAACGGTCCAGCCCGACCCATCTTGGCCCATATGTGAGCCCATTCTGTAAGCTCATTTTCTTCCTGCCGTTAACCAAAGTCATAAGCTTTGCTCAGAATAGGAAGATAATTATAAGGGTTGAAGAATATTATACAATTTGACGCTTAAGATTTTGTTTGTGGCGGTTTTTTTATTGGTTCTTAAAATAAATTTTTAATTTTTTATTAAAAAACTACTTTTAAGAAGCAGTAAGCAAATCGTTCCAAACAAAACCTAAATCTCACGTGATCAAAAGTCAACTTTCTTTCTTATATTATAAATTTAGGAGTATGGGTGTGATGAATAAATTTGTCTTTATTATATAAAAATATTATGCAAATATAAATTTGCAAATGTAAACCTTTCTCAAAGTTCCACCAAGCTAGAACTGCAATATAAAAATATTTTAATAATAAAAATATTTAAATGCATGGCTTATATATGATATATTTATCCACTGATTATCAGAATAAAATAATGAGTTCACATAACAAAAAGATAGATTTATAATTCCGGGCATTTTATAAAAAGAGCATGATTTAGATTTTAATTACATTAAGGAGCATGGGAAAGAAAAAAATTAAAAAGGATCTTGAAATTCAAACTGAACACCAAACAGGTTATTGAACCAATGGTTACTCTGAACACAAGCACTGCATTCCACGTGGCAAACCCTTTTTCTATTGAAACCGAAATTTCATTATCCGGTTTCTTAAAAAACCGGAAACCGGAATTTCTTAATCCCGTTTCTTAAGAAACCGAATTTTCAATGTCCGGTTTTTCTTAAGAAACCCTTTTTCTGATTTAAAAATCTGCCACTAATAGATTAAAGAATATTAAAGAAATGAGATGTATAGAATATTAACGAATTAATATATTTATAATTTTATTTTACTTGTTCTCATTTTTTATTTGATTATTTTTTAATTATAACTATTATATTTTATTTATTATTTAAGAAACCGGAACAAGTAAAATATCATAATTCCATAAAATGTCATAAATTTATGAAATTAAAATAAAATTACATTATATTATATTTCTTAAATATATATTAAAAGTTATTAAATATTAATAATATTTTCTTAAATAATTGAATATCTAAAAGTAATAATTAATAATTTAATATAAATATAAATTTTAAAATACCAATAACTTTTTTAAAACATTTAATAACTTTCCCTGTTTCAGTTTTTATAAGATGCCGTTTTATTATTTTATATTTATATTTATTTGAAAAAAATTGGTTGAAATTCCTGTTTCTTAAGAAACCCGCATTTGTTAATTCAGTTTTTTAAGAAATCGGAATTTCAAGCTCCGTATTTTCTCATTTTTAATTTTTTTCTAAACGATTCTTTAAACTAATTAAAATTTAAAACACGCTCCTTTTTATAAAATGCCCTATAGTTCTATATCTTAGCATTGTATGGATATCGGCTCACACGCAGAGAACATGATATTTTTACGTGGAAAACTTTGGAAAGGAGAAAAATCACAGGGCTAGCCCAATTGAAAATGATTATACTAGAATTTAAGTTGAATACAGTGGATGACTTGCCCATAAGGGCAATCCGATTACAAATTTCAATCGTATGATTGTAGTCTGGTGATAAACGTGGATGAAAGTCTGGCGTCACATGGTGGTCCGTGCGGAAGTCCCGACGTCAGTCAGTGACCTAGTGGAATCCAGGAGCTAGGTGATAGTCTAGCGGAAAGTCTGGTCGATGGTTAGAGGTCTGGTAGAACTCCGACATCGGGTGGTGATCCGGCGGAACTCCGGCGTCCGGTGGTGGCCCGTTGGAACTCCGACGTCAGGTGGTGGTCTGGGGGAACTCTGGCGTCCGGTGGTGGTCAGGAGGAACTCCGGTGTCAGGTGGTGGTCCGACGAAACTCTAGGTGTCATGTGGTGGTCCACTGGAACTCCGGTGTCAGTTGGTGATTCGACGGAACTCCGAGTGTCAGGTGGTGGTCCGGCGGAACTCCGACGTTAGGTGGTGGTCCGACGGAACTCCATCGTCAGGTGGTGGTCAGGCGGAACTCCGGGTGTCAGGGGGTGATTCGACAAAACTCCGGGTGTCATGCGGTGGTCCGGTAGAACTCCGATGTTAGGCAGTGGTCCGACAGAACTCCGACGTCAATCGGTGGTCCAACGGAACTCTGGCATCAGACGGTGGTTGTGGGGTAGCAATGAGGCAAGATTCATCTATGATCTCTCTTATTTTCTTTGGCTTTGGTCCCTTTTCAAGAGTAAGGGGGTATATTTATAGATTTCATAGAGTGGCATGGCCCGTAAATGGGAGGAAGATCAAGGGTAAATGATGAGTGATTTGGATGGACGGCCGATGTTGAATCCCTTGATCGTGAATCGTTTACTGGGCATTTGAATGTCTTAGTGATATCAGAATTCAGTGATCTTGGGTGCGTTGGATTATAAGCATATCACATTTGCAAACTGTTTTGTAAACTAAATTGTGGTTTAAACCTTCCAATAATGCTTTTGGGCCCTTGATTTGGACATGTTTGGGCTTGGATTGAGTCGAATTTGGTGTCGTTGTGTTCGTATTTTCAAGTCATTCAGTTCAACTATACGTTTCCTGAAACCAAAGTTCAAATGATCCCACATTTAATTTTGGAACTTTCCAACTTGACTTTGCTTCGAGATTCATGCATGATTGCTCGTGAGAGAAGATAATTCATGTTCGAAAATGTGAACACAATCAATCTCATTAGTACATTACATTTCATTCTCGGTGACCTCTCACATATTCTCTCACGAGCAATCGTAGCATCATCAAGCTTCAATTTCTCCTTCCCCTCTTACATGCTTCAATAAGCTTCAATATTTAGTGATATGTCCATTTCCTTGATAGAAGCAACAAGCAAATCTTATCAAGCAAAATACTGAGCCCATGACCCAAAATACTACTTCAATCTATGATACCATCTCAGCATCTCTTGTCCATGTCATGGAATGAGAATGAAAAACCTCATAGTATCTTGAAATTTATTCTTGGTTACCTCTTAATGTTTGGCAACTATTAGCAACAGCGTGGAAGTCCGACAATGGTTAATGGCTTGGTGGTGGTCCAATAATGGTAGGTGAAAGCCCGGTGGCAGTCGGAGGCCAGACGGTGGTCCGGCGACAGTCGACGGATATTCACTGGCGGTGGTGCCGGAGCTCTTGAAGCCTCAAAATTCTCTCTAATCTGTAGCGAGAGCCCTCCTTTGTGTAGAGAACGGGGGTCTATTTATAGAGTTTTTAGAATGACATGTCCTATGAATATGGAGAGGACCTGGGACAGATTTGGAGTGCTCCATCAGACGGTCTATATTGATACTTAATTATAGAGCATTTTTTAAGTGTTTAAAGTGCCTTAATGATGACAAAATTCAACGATCTTAGGCTCGTTGGATTCGTCTCGCCGAGCCGCTCGATTCGACTATAAGCATGTTAAAATTTGCTATCATTTGGTCATCCAATTTAGGCTTTGAACATTTCCAATAAACTTCGAGCCCCCAATTTGGACTTATTTGGGCTCGAATTGGATCAATTTTAGTGTCGTTAGATCAATCTCTTTGAGACGTTCAGTTTAACTGAAGTGTCGAAATTGGAGTTCAGATGGTCCCGAATTTAATGTCGAAAGTTTCCAACTTGAATATGCCTTGAGATTCGTGCCCAATCAAGATGATTTTTGGTGACATATCAATAACACATACAGCATTGAAGCTCAAAATCAAACTCAGTAAAAAGCATGTGAATCTCTAACAGTTTACAACAACAAAGTATCACAACATGATAAGAAAGAAAGAAGAACGTAAATAAAAATTTCATGGGATTTGAATAAAGCAAGCATTCATATTTCTCTAAATCCAACCCGGAACTGACCCGGCACTGTTCGGGTCAACCCGAACTCGACCCGTTTTTAAAAACGGGTCAGTTTTCTGGACCCAAACCAGACCGACACGAATGACCCGAAGTTGACATAAAATTGTTAATTTTCGGGTCAATATTCATTTTTCGAGTCAAAATCGGATCAATCTCGGGTTTTCGGGTCAAATACGAGTTTTCGTGTCACTTCGGGTCAATTTCGGGTTACTGGGTCAACCCGAACCCGACCCGATTTTTAAAACGGGTTGATTTGTTCAACCCGAACCCGAATTTTTCCGAGTCGGGTTCGGGTCGTGTTTCGGGTCATGTCAAAAATTGACAGCTCTAGATTTATCATCAAAATTTAAATATGAGAAGATTATTTTAGCAATTCAAATGATTATTTAATAAAAGTATAAAGTAGATAGGGATATTATGGATTTATAAGATAATATTTAAGTTGCTAATAGTGATTAAGATTTTTAAATATACATTATAAAATATTTAAATTTATATATTATGAGGCGATAAAATTTCCTGATTCGCGGCTCTCCGATAAAGATGATACGCCGGCTCCGCCTGCTTCGGCGCTTCTCGCACCTCCAGATTTCCCCTTCCGGCGCCGTCCTTCCGCTTACTGCTCGCCGCAATCTCTACAGTGTCACCTCACCAGCCAGAAGACAGCAACGAGGCCAAAAACCAAAATTTGTTCTCTCCCTTCAATTGCAAAGGCGACGGGAGGAATATGGCTTCTGCACTAGAGCAATGGAAACGGAGGAAGCCCAGTTGTTCTCGCCCTACTTATGGGTCCGCATTCGCTGCAGCAAAGATGTCGCGGTGAGTTGTTTAATTGATTTTATGTTCGTTTCAGTAAGTTTTTTTGATGTTTTTCTCAATTGCTTGCTTGAAATTTCTATACTGAGTACCTTGATTGGGTATTTGATTGGAAAGCTGTTGAGGCGTGCTTAGGGTGGATTATTATGCCCAAAAACTCAAAGCTTTGCTCTCGTTTCAATCCACTCAAACTAGAAATCTATTTACTCCCACTTGAAATGGTTGTGAGAGATTAGTTTTATTCAACTCGATCTGAGCATTTGCATAAATGCTACAAAATTCTTACGTATTTGCATATCTAACATCAAAATGTTTATATTCCATTTTTGTCTAAATCACATCAATGAGTGCATGAAAAGATGAGTTTTGCTTTAAATAAGATAATATTAGTAGCTTCTTTATGTGATTTAGATATTTGAGTGTTATGTTAGTAAATATCAATATTAAGGTGTTATATGTATATATATAATAATATTAATAACTAATTATAAAATATTTTATACAAAATTGACTTGGCCTCCGTATTCACTTAATTGAAACATTAGCTCATGATTAATTGTCTTGTTTGAGTGAAACACTGAAACACAATTTATGTGCCAAGGGATTCTTTTAGAGCATACTTTTAGACAAGCGTCACTTGTCAAGTTATTATAGGGTTAATTTTTTTGTGTTTCCAACGTTGCAATATGACTATGCCTTAACTGTAATGATTAAGGCTTTGTTTGAGATGACTTTTTTATTGTTTATTAAACAAAGTTTTAGTATAAAATTTTTAATTTTAATTTGTACTAAAATTCTATTTTAAAAAGCAATAAAAAAATCGTCCCAAACGAAACCTTAGCCTTAAAATTTCTATTCATGAACTATGATGAGAAAATAACACGAATATACTGAAATATGCTGCATTGGAAGGCTAGTTATGAACCATGTATGATGGTAATCAATATATAGTGTCCATGCCGCTGGTTAATTTTCTTTGATAATTTTATATGATTGGTTTTGGGGGAAACTTGCATCAAATTTGCATGCAATGTAATAGGTAATATACTTGTACAAATCTGAAAGCTCATACCATGGAAAGTCTGTCCATGATTATGGGGTTCTTATTATCACATTTACTAGATAATCAATTTTAAATGTTTAGCTGTTTGACTAGTGGTAATTTGATGCATGGCATAGGTAGAAGAGTCAATCTTAATAGGTTGACTAATTTTAAACTAAATAAAAAGTTGAAATAATTGAATAAAGCTATTGAAAGGGATATGAACTCCTATAACAACGATTGTGTATATAATACATGAAAAATCATTATGATCAATTAACAAGATTGGTTTGCAAGTTTTATTGAGGTGCTATAAGTTTAGGTAACATTGAATTTTCATATAAAGGGGCGAGGATATGGATGATGATATAGCTAATTTTTTTCACGATGGATGGTCAAAATATAAAATTTTCTTTGGGTGGATACATGATGAGAGAATATAGATTGGTTTGAATGGAGGTTTAAGAAACGATACAACAACTACAACAATATCAAGCCTTTATCCCACTCTGTGGGGTCGACAACATGAATCTTTTTTCTCCTTTGTGTCCCGTTAAGAGTTAAATTCTTATTTAAATCTAATAAAAACGGTCATTTCTAATATTTTCTAACCAAGTCTTTTTAGGTTTACCTCTACCTTTCTTAACATGAAAGAATATAGATTGATTTGAATGGAGGCTTAAGAAACAATAATATTATATTAAGATTAACTAGGTGTCTATTTGGGATAACTTCCTCATTGCTTTGGTTTTCATACCGCAATCACAATTTCGTTTGACTACTGTTTCTTTACAATTTTTAGAATTTTTTGTGACAGCTTTATGAAAGCATCTGTTTGATTTTTTAAAAAGAATACATTTATAATACCTATAACAGCTTTCAAAAAATTTATTTTTTCCACAGTAACTTCACAACCCCATTTACAAGATGCTACAACCATTCCATACAAACCCTAAGATGCAGAATTCTAGCATTGGAAACAAAATTGTCACAAAGACCTCGTTAAATATGGAGAAATCTCATTGCAAGATGAATATCGCCATATTGGTAAACTTAGGAGCACAAAATGGCTAAAAGTTTGGTGTTGCAACTTTCTATGCTAAGCCTATAGATAATTGACCATGGTTGTCTGGGCATACAAAATAGAGAAGAGGATGGTACAAAAATTGATGTAAAAATAATAGGATGAAAAGTAGATAGGTCATAAATAGTATGATTTGGAGCCGCTTAGAAAGATTTATCTGGATCACATTTATCAACGATAAAAATGGAAAATGACTAATAATGCTATTTTGTAGTTTGGATAATCCTAATGGTGTTGTTTTTAATGATAAATTAATGAGTTGTGTTACTACTTGTTCTCTCTCTATAGTTTTAAAATGTTTGCGTATTGTTGGCCATCACATTAATATTTTATAATTCATGAAAGTTTTGTAGGATACACTTTCAGAAGCTCTTTTGTGTTTTGGTGCAAGTTCTGCAAGTATAGATGAGAGTAATTCTAAAGATTCTTGTGAGGTGAGTTCCTGACTTATCTTTCATGAATAGAGGATTCTAGTTTTCATGTCAACATATTCTTGTTTATCATGCTACAATGGTGTATACTTACAGAAATAGCACCCAAGAATTTTTATTCATGATAACACCACCCAAATTTTGAAGATAACAAAAAGATTTTCAACTTTCATTACCAATACTCTGGTGATTCATTTAAAAGATTCTGTGATAGTTTCATAAATTAGGAAGATTTTAGTGGCATATATGTAAATCTCTATTTTTAAGGTATTAATATGCTATGTAAAAAGAGATTCATGCCTTGGTTTGCTCACACATTTTTTTTTTTTTTTTGTAAAACTAATATTCTAGTAAATGGTCTAGACACACTAGCTCAACTGCTCCTTAGTGGCTTAATTTTTTATGATGCTGTTTTTTTTTTTTTGTCACAACTTATGTATGTATCAAGTCAACATATACAAGAGATGCCCATAACAAAAATTGGAAGCAAAATTATGCTTAAATTTGAGAAGAGCTCCCAATCATAGCATTATATTTAGGTCTAAGTAAATTCTCTTTTCAACTCAATTGGTGTCACTAAAGAAGTCCCTTTACTGGGACTAATCCTTTAGATTGGTTGATCATGCTACCCATGGGTATGAGTGATTTATAAACAAGCCAAGATGAAAAAAACTTGCACTATGTTTAATAAGGGCAAATTTTTAAAAGGAACATGTTTGGCGTACGATTTAGGAGAAGGATCATAAGTTAAATTAAATTTAAAAAGATAAAAAATGTAAAGAGGATTTGCGTTTTAACAGAAAATGCAAAGCGAAATCGCGTTTTAATAGAAAACGTGAACAATGATCACGTTTTCTATTAAAACGTGATTTTATATAGCATTTTTCATGTTTTTTTACTATTTCTAATGATTATTTTTTTATTCTTTTAAAAATTTGCTCTATTCTTAAAATATTTTATAAATAACTTTATTTAAATATTAGAAATAATTTTATTAAAATACAATTCTTTTATTTTACTATTTAAATTATTACTATTTAAATACTAAAAACAAAATTTTATATTAAAAACAATTTTTCATATTTATAACTAATTTTTTAAAACGAAAATAAAATAAATTTTAATAAATTTTAATAAAAATTTATTTGAATATGTAAATTAATTATATTTTAATATTAAAAATAAATATATTTATAACTTATTTTTAATTTATTTTTAAAACAAATGTATAAAATTTCTATCTATAACTGTCCTCTCTCTCTATTTCTCTCTCTCGGTCTCTCTCTAATTTGTACTCTCAACTGAGATAGAGTGAATTTGTGTTTAAATAGTTATAATTATTAAATTTAAATATTATAATTATGATTAATAAATTTATTTTAAATTA